GAGGAAAAGAAAATAGACATCAGTAGTGTCCACCATGCCCTTGTTTCTCTTTAAGACCTTTGTATGAGTATGCTCTGTTCTGCAATAATCAGAAACACAATTCAAATTGGCATAAACAACTAGGAAATATATTAATCTCACACCAGGATATCCAGAGGTAGGATAGATTACAGAGTTGGTGGATTCATTGGTTCAAGGGTGTCCTCAAGGAATTAGGCTCTTTTCATCTCTCTCCTTTGCCATCCTTAGCAATGTCTTCATTCTCATGCTGGAAGCAAGGTGGCTGCAGCAGTTCCAGGTGTTAGATCCACACATGACAACATCTGTAGGAAGAAGAGGGACTGACCCTTCCTTTCTTTTTCAAAGAATGAGGTCACCCTTTAATGGATTTCTCATGTCTTGGCCAGAATTGTGTCATACTCCTATTACTACACTCCTTACAGTTAAGCAGGTTTGACTTTGACCAAAGAGGATCCACGATTCACAACAAAGGGTGGAGTCAGCTGCCCTTGAAGCTTATGGCCACAGGATCTGGGAAAAGGTCAGAATACAATTTCTTATTCTGTTATAAGGAAAGAGATGAGAATAGAAGTTGAACAAACAACCATTAGTGTCTGCCAAAATACTAATAATTTTTTAAAAACTGGGACAATTTGGTTCATTTCTTTTCAACTTATTTTTAAATAATGACTTCCTTTTAGATGAATTTATGACAGATAAATTTCTAAAAATGCTAAAACTGTTAGATCAGTAAGAATCTGAGGCTTGAATTAATTTTAATTTATATCTTTGATCACATTTCTGCAGCAATTCTGCACTAGCCTAGCATATTACCTCTGGGGTGGGGGATAATTGTGGGGGAGTGAAAGAAATTTGGGAACCCTTCCCAAGAGGAACAAGCCAATTTCTTCATACCTTCCTGTCCTTGTAATTCAGGATTGTTTCTGTCTTAGTCCTTCTGTAATACTCTCTTTATTTGAGTGATATCATAAAAACAATTCATCATTGCAGCCATCAGATTCTTCAAGACAACTCCATATAACCTGAAATATTTTTGCAGGAAAATTGATTTCCCAATTTAAGCTTCATGGTTGACTGGTTGTGCTGTTTATAAACAAATAGCATGAATAATTTAGTTGAAGATTTACTGTGAGTTGCAGATATCATTCTTTTTTGTTTTTTCAAAGTCATCGAAATATGCTGTTATCAAGGAAATAGGGTCTTGGGAATCAGAGAAGGCACATTGGAGTTTTGTGCAGATTTTGTGGGTGAGTTTGCTACATTTGGTGGAAATTTATATAAGGCATAGGTCAACTGAAAATGAAATGAAACTAGTATTAACAAATGGGTTCTGTAAGCTGGTTATTGTCCTAGATCCTTTGACATACATTATTTTATAAGCTATGGCATCTCATTTTATAGAGATGCAGAAACTATGGTTCAGAGAGGTTTAATAATTTGACCTAAGATAAAGGTAACACAACCTAGATTCAATAGCTTTTTCCCTACCTATATTAATTGCCATCCTGCAAATTGAGAAACCCTCTCCCCCCTGCCGTGGGCTGGCTCATTGCTGCTATTGCTGCTGCTTTTGTAGTTTTCTCTTTGTAGTGAGTCTCTTTGATTCCACTGACTATAATGCATAAGTTTGGTCTTCCTGCTCTGCTGGCCATTTTAAAACAATCATTACTCATGAGGTGTCTACTGTGTGCAAGCTCTGGATCATAACAGCTAAAATGTTTGTTGTGGGCAGTAGTGTTGCTTGGCACATTTCCATTTCTCCTCTGGACACTAGGGAACTTAACACTTGCTGGTCCCCCTTGTGGATGAGTGAGGACATGTGATTAGTCCTGGTCATTGGGTGGTAAGCTGTATCATCCTATGTCACCTCCAGGCCTGGTATTTAATGGCTGGTGTGAAAACTTCCAGGGAGCTCTTTCCCATTGCTATGATGATTGGCAACATTTGAGTTGGTGTTTGCTCCGTCAGTCTGAGTGCTTGACAGAGAATGGTGAACAAAGCTCCCCTGCCTACCTGATACAGACATACAATATGAGAAAGAAATAAGTCATATATATAGCCACTGTGATTGATTTGGGGGTTGATTATTATGGTAGCCAGATACAACTAGTCTCCACTGATACTGATATTGAGTGATTATTATATACCAGGCTCAGTAAGTAAATGAATTGTATGCATTATCTTTACAACAACCCCCTGAAGTGGCATAATTTTCTCCATTTTACATTCTAGGAAACTGAGGATTATAGCTGCAGTCCTCAACCTCCAGGGCCATGGACTGGAATCAGTCCATGGCCTGTTAGTAACTGGGCTGCATGGATGAGTGGCGAGTAGTCAAGCAAGCTTCATTTGTATTTACAGCTGTATTTACAGCTGCTTCCCATCGCTCACCATCCTTCCTCCCCACCCCCACGTAGGTCCATCTTCCATGAAACAGATCCCTGGTGCCAGAAGGGTTGGGACCACTGGCTTATCAGGTTTAAATAACTTTTACAAGGTCATCCAGACCATCCAAACCTGGCTGAGACCATCTTCTGAACTTGGACTTACTATTCTATGCTGGCCTCATATGCTCTTATTGATTCAGCCTATTTCAGTTCACCAAAAGCATTTGACTTTCATCTGAATCTGTAGTAGTGAACTCTTCTGGGTAAGACTTACATTAATACTGGGGAACAGGAACACAGTACTTATTGCAGGATTACCATTGTTTGCTAGATAGAAGCTTGTATCAAACCTACTTCAAAAATATGGATAAACATGGAGGACATTATGCTAAGTGAAATAAGCCAGGAACAGAAAGACAAATACTGTGGATCTCACTTATATGTGATAAATCTAGAAAAAGCCACACAACTTCACCACTGCATGGTGTAGAAGGCTAGAAGGGGGAGAATGATGTAAGTTTATAGAAGAGGCTGGAGTAGGATGAGATAATGCATCAGAAAGGGACATTTGAATGTTTGGGTCAAAGTGGTACTAAAAGTTCCATATAGAAACAAGGAACAATTTTTTATTTAATTTTTTTTTATTTTGGCATATTATGGGGTAAGATATTTAAAGTTTCAATAATATGCCCCATTTCCCGCCCCCCCCCCGTAAAGTCTGAGTCTCCATCGTATTTGACCATGGAGCACTCCTCCAGATGTGCATCATCTCATCATTTATGTTATGTATCTAATGCGATACCCACCCCCTCCCCGCCTCCCCCCGCCACGTGCCCAAGTCCCGTATTACTGTAGTCCTATGTGTCCACTTAGGTGCTACTCAGTTAATACCAGTTTTCTGGAGAATATATCTTGGTGCTTGTTTTCCATTCTTGGATAGACTACTTCACTTAGTAGTACTTGGTGTTCCAGCCTCTACCAGGAAAATATAAGATGTGCTATATCACCATTGAGAAACAAGGAACAATTTTTAGTGATCTATTACATGGCATGGTGACCATAGTTAATACTGTATTGTATATTTCAAAATTGCTGAAAGAATAGATTTTTAAATGTTGTCATCACAAAAGAAATGATAAGGAGGTGAAGTATGGCTATGTTAATTAACTTAATTTACTTATTACACAATGTATGCATAAATAAAAATGTCACTTTGCACTCCATGAATACATGAAATTATTTTTCAATTAAAAATAACAGAAAAAAAAATGAAACTAGAGAGAACACCAAATGGCATGTTCCATGAACTGGGTATTTTCCTAGACTCTTTGATAAGTTATCTTATAAATCGTAACATGTCATTTTGTATATATAAAAAAATTGAGGTTCAGAGAGGTTTAAGTAATTTTTTTTTTGAGAAAGTAGTAAGGATTTTTATTGTCAAAACAAGAGATCATAACAGAAGACACAAATAAATTAATTGTTCTAATAACTATAGACTCCAGGGCATCTCTACGGAAAGGTCAGCTCCTTAGGTAGCTGATAAGATAAGCACGATCGCAAAACAAAGACAAGTATGAGACAGGCCCCAGACAGTGACTGAACGTGTACCAGAGGTGAGGAGAAATAAAAAAGGCAGTTCCCTATTTCCTTTCCTCAGTACGGTATGTGTTGCATAAAGGAATGAGGGCTCATCTTGTGACAAATGCTTTTATATAGACAATTTTGAATTCTTCCATCTCCTCCCCACAAAAAAGATTCAGGCCCTGACCTGATGATGAACAAGGAAATTAAAATAAGGTGACACTACTTTCACATGAACTGAAGACTATGATCTAATTGTAGTTACCATCTTTATTTAACATCCATTTACCTATACCAAATCAGTAACTGAATTTCTCCCTTAGGAAGTTGTCAACCAAATAGTTAAATTAATCTCAACATTAAAGTGCAAAAAAAGGATATGCAAGAACTAGTGTTTGTTGCTATGATATAAAAAAGAAACATCCCTCTAGTACACTGGCCGAGAGGTACCGAATGAATAACTTGCTGAAGCCAAGTCTGATTATGAGGTTTGCCAAACGCAAGACGATTCCAGTTTCAGCTGGAAAGAGGTCCCTGCCAAGTCTGGCTTTTAACTGCACCCAGCCTCAGAAAACAGACCTTAGGCCCACCCACCTGCCAGGGCTGGCCAGCACGCACCAGTGCAGTCAAGAGCCCACAGGTGCTCCAGCTAGTGAGTGGCGCCTCCGTGCCACGGTTTTGTCCAGTGTTCACGTTGAGTCGTGGTGAAAGAATCAAGCAGCCTGAAGTTCTAGAACCAGCACGAACAGTAATTACCTAGTAAGCAATGATCAAACTCTCGTCTAGGGCAAACGACACAAAAATAGGTCATCAGTCCCCCCATACACCACTGCTGAGATGTGATCTCACTTGACAGCAGCACAAAATGGCTTCTCCCACACAAGGGCAAACTTTGCACTAATGTTTCTCCTAAAACCAATTATGTCTTCAGGTCTAGCCTTAGTTTTAAGAGGTTTGTTAAAAATACACCTTCCTATGTCAGAGAGCCAAGTAAAAGGGGAGTGGGCTCTAAGACAGTGGTGTGAGCACATTCAGGTCCCGGGGTTTGAGGCTGTGGGTCGCGGGGTTTCGTCTTCCCTTCCGTCACGGGCACGTCCATCTTGGGTGGCTTGAAGGTTGCTGGATCTTCAGCCATTCTCGTGGCCTGGGCTCGGATCAGTTCCATTGGAGAGGGTTTCTGGGCTCCTCGGTAGGCTTGTGTGGCAAAACTTCCTGAATCATACTTCTGGAGGGGTCTTGTTCCAAAGAAGCTCCATTTATCTGATGGGTTTCTGTCCTTATCCCCACTTCCAGAATCCATGGTACCAGGATTGGGGCCAGGTAAGGCTGTGGAAGAGCCGGAAGTGAACCAGCCTCTGGGCCTGTGCTTAGGGGAAGAATGAGGGGTGCTGCTTGGGGTGGACTGGGCTGACGCAGGCTGCTTCTCTTCTTTTGTTATCTCTCCACTCTGTAGCTTTAGTTTGTGCAGTGCTCTGCAAAAAAAAACGAAGAGATAAAAAAAAACAAAAAAATAAAAATAAAAAAAAAAAAAGAAAACACAAAATCTCCTAAAAAAAAAAAAAACACACAAAAAAAAAAAAAAAAAAAAGGTAGGTGAAGCGCCACATTGTGGGGTGTGTGCCGACTCTCCAGCCCTGCACTGTGTTCACCTGGTGCTTCCTGGGTCTGCTTGGTGCCAGAGATTTCATGATGACATGGTGAGCATTTAGGCCTTCACACACAGGCCTTGTCTGCACTGTTCAGTGGCGTGGCAGGGTCATGGCAAGGGAGGATACACTGGCTTCTCCTTCCTCCACCTTGGCGAGGTGCTGATACTTGCGCTCTGGATCCTGGCTTCCAGGGATGCTGCCCATGTCTGATGGAGGAGGAGTCATGGACGCAGGGTCCTCAAGGGCATCGTCATAGCTGAATGCCCGGCGGCATATCCCGATGGGCAGGGACATCTTGCCTAGAGGCCCACTAGGCTCAAGTGCAGGTACTTCTGGTTGTCTTGAAGCCATTGAAAAACTGGGATCCAGATGCTTTTTCTATATAGAATTCGGAGATGAGTCCCTGCCACCACAGTGAAGTTATGTGACGACTATGCGCACAGACAGATGTTAATGAGGAACATTGCCCAGCTGCTGCAAATCAGCAAACCTTCCGGGAAGAGTCCATCCAGGGGCTCCGCTCTCCTGCCGCCGCCGCGGGGCCGCCGCAGCCCCGAGTCCGACCCTAAAGGGGCTCTGAGGACCCCCGTCTCCCGACAGGTTGCGGCGCGGTCTGTGTGGAAGCCATCATGAGGGCGGCGGCGACACCTGAGGCCTCCGCACCCGCCCGGGGGGACCGGTTTAAGTAATTTGATATAAGATAAAGGTAACAAACTGAGATCCAAACACGGTGCTCATGTGAAAATCTATGCTGTTTTCACACTACCACACAGCAGGTTTTAAATGCATAGAGAAAACTGATCATTCCATCTCTTTGTAGATTAGAGAATTCTAGCATGTCTTCCAAGGAACACCAGGCATATAAGATTCTCTGTGAACCAAAGGGCTCCATGTTTCCAAATTCGAATTAATTTGGAAACTAACACATATTAAGTTATCACTTTTCAAGATTCATGATGCACATAAGCATAATTTAATCTCTACGAAGTTCTTCAGTTAAGAAATCTATTTAACTTTGTTTAACTTAAACTTTTTCAAATGTATTTGACTACTAAACATCCCCAACAAATTTGACTACTAAACATCCCCAACAAACTCTGCCACTGATTTTAAACCTCCTAAAAAGCACTTTCTGAACACCCTTTTTTTTTTTTGAGACAGAGTCTCGCTTTGTTGCCCAGGCTAGACTGAGTGCCGTGGCGTCAGCCTAGCTCACAGCAACCTCAAACTCCTGGGCTCAAGCCATCCTGCTGCCTTAGCCTCCCCAGTAGCTGGGACTACAGGCATGCGTCACCATGCCCTGCTAATTTTTTCTATATATATTAGTTGGCCAATTAATTTCTTTTTATTTATAGTAGAGACGGGGTCTTGCTCTTGCTCAGGCTGGTCTCGAACTCCTGACCTCAAGTAATCTGCCAGCCTCAGCCTCCCAGAGTGCTACGATTACAGGTGTGAGCCACCGCACCCGGCCTGAACACTCTGAAAAATTTTATGGCAGAAATTAAAAGTAGAACTTGATGCTATGCTGGAATGAAACATAACGATTACATCCTGGGCCAACAAACAAATGGCTGGGTTTTCTTCTTGCTGAATTAACACAGCAAGGATTTTGACTTAACCTAAATAGTTCCTGGTCCAGATCAATTTCCCATGGATAGTCAGAAAGACAGCACCATGTTGCTTTGATGTCTTTTACTTTATTCCTAACAAGGAACATCTGTGGGTTTTGCTTCTTCCTATCCTACTATGTTAGCAGAATCCTTCTTTTGTAGGGTTCTTGCTTCATGGGTGAATTATGTGATCAATCTAGACCAATGAGTATCCTCCCTGGGGTTTTTCCACCAGTACTATTAGAGATGTTCTCTTCTTCCTTGTTGTTACTAAATGCTAGGGTGTGGTCTTATGCTGTCAGTGATTTTAATGTTTATATATGTGGCTAGAGCCTAAGAATGTACAACATTTGAGTCCATGAGTCCTGCTGTGCCTGAAGCCACAAGTTCTATCCCCAGATATTTTGATTATGTGAGCAAACACTTTCTTTGTTTCTTTGTGTTTTTTTTTCTTGTTATCTGTTCTCCCCCCGCCCCCTTTCCTCTCTGTTTTCCTTTTCCTACTTTTCTTTCTCTTTTTCTAGTAGTTTGAGTATTCTGTTATGTAGTTTCAGTATGAACTGAAAGAGTGTTGATTAATGTATTTACCTTCAGGCCAGGGGCTGTGGCTCATGCCTGTAATCCCAGCACTTTGGGAGGCTGAGGCAAGAGGATCACTTGTGCCCAAGTGTTGAAGGCTACAGTGAGCTATGATGCCTGGGAGACAGAGCCAGACCCCATCTTTAAATAAATATATATATGTATGTATATATGTATATATATATATATATTTTCTTTTTCCAATAAACTCAGGTAAACCAGTGGGTTTTTCCCCCAGAGCTATGGATACTGCAAAACTGTTAGATGATAGAGGATGTACAAGTAAGTGCTATACAGGCTAAGAAATCTCTCCCAATGTTAACAGAACTGGGAGGTTTCATAATGTATCATTGTTTGTCACTGCCACAGTCCTAGCAGCTAACACGGCTTCTGGCTATGATGAAAGGTACTTAAGGAATATTTGTTGACTGGCTTATTCAACACTAATAGCTTCCTGTTTCAGAGAAGATCAACCTTTTTTCTTTCTTTCAATTCTCTTTACCAACTATATACCAAAACTTGGAAGTAAGAAAGAAATCTGTTTTCAAAAAGCTTATACTCTAATGGGGGAGACATTTAGAAACAAATGTAAAAAACATTTTAAAAACATCTGTAGGAGAAACATATCTGGGAGGACAAAGAAGTTCTGACTTATGGCAGGTATGAGAGCTCAGAATAGGTATACCAGAGTTCAAAAAACTGGAAAGCTAGATTTGGCCTGGAAATATATTTGAAAATTTGGAAAAATTTTATATAACGTTACATATTTACAGTGTTTCTTTAAACATTAGAAAATTCAGCAACATGGGCTTGTTTCTCTTGGGAACAAATGGCAAGAACTGAGTAAGAGCTCACCCATTTATGTGATATGAAACACATACACCCCAGTTTGTCACGGCTTTTTACCACATCTTTTTTTTATTTATAAATAAATATTTATTAGTGTAACACATACTTACTATATGAAGAGTTAAACAGAACTGAAAATCACACAGTGAAAACAATAGATCCCCTCCCCTCTGCCCCTAGGTACCCCAGCCCTATGTACCTGGTCTGTATCACTCATTTTTGCCACCTGTCTATCTCATAAAAGGCATTTGTGTTTGTGACCCTGGTGTCTACTACTGTGGCTGGCAAGGAAGAACACAGAGGATCTAGGATCTCATAATCCATTTGCTAATCAAAATACCTTTTGAAGAGTATTAAGTATAGAAACAGAAAGTGGAAAAAGAGTACTCTAGGATTATGAGAGCTGACCTGACGATCCATTTAGAGGAGGCATATCAGCTCTGCATTTTCTTTTTTTCACTGGCGTCATCTGGGGCACAGACATGTGATTGTTCAATTCTATGCAAAGCCTGTGCTTTGGTAAGGGAGGGAATCTGTTGTGGAAACTTGAGCGGAATATCTGTTCTCATCATACAAGTTTATTTACTGTGAAGGAAGCTTCAGGGTAAACTTGATTAAATAGACTGGGACCCAATGTGGCATAATGGAAGAGCCCTGCCTAGAAATCAGGGAGCCCAGGTTTGAAACCTGGTCCTGTAATTAAATAGTTGGGTGATATTGGGCATGTCACTTTTTATTTCTTAGTCCATTTACTCTTTTATATAATGAGGGATTTGGATTAGATAATATCTAAATACCTGCCAGCTCCAAAGTTATCAATATCCTACATGTAAAGGGAATACAGTCTAACTCAGCCCCTGGAATCAGGTTTAAATCCCAGTTCTACTACATATTGTCCCATCTTTCTCAATAATGGGGCTTGTTATAATATTCCCGTTGTTATGAATGAAAGAGAAGATTCAGTGCGAGTGCTTAGGATGGTGCATAAAATACAGCAAGCATGCAATAAGTGATAGCATCTTTAGAGTTAAAAATTCCTGCTTTCTTAAAACAATTATGTGCCCCCTCTATTTTTAATTGTTCTCTTCCCTGATTTTTATGCATGTGCCTTACTCACTAACAAATTGATATTGTGGAGTCTGGCACAGGAAACAAAAGTCCTTCTTTTTAAGTACATTGATTTGTTATCATTAAGAATTTAGACTTTAATAAAGTTAATGGTTGGTCTTAGTAGCAATAATTTAAACAAGTAAGAAACTTGAATGTAGAATATGTGACATGCCCAGCTCTGTATCTCCATTCCCCTCCTTACATTATAGAGCTTTGCTTGGTGTATAGTGAATGATCAATAGATGCTATTTTGCTAAATCTTTTAGGGTCTACTGGCAGGTTAATTTTAGTAATAACTAATATTTATTGAGTATTTAACTGTGTCCAACAGTCTCTGCTAAATGTTTATATGTACTATATAATTTAATTCTGATAAAGGGTATTATTATTTCTCCCATTTTTCATATGAAGAAATTAAGGCCTAATTAAGGCCTAGAGAAGATAAGTAATTTACCCAAGTGTGCACACAGGTAAAGTGGCAAAGTTAGACTTTAGCTCCGGGTTTGTCTTTCCTTAGAAGTGGTGTTTTTTGGCACTCCTGTGCCACAACATGCTGACACACTACTCTTTACCTTGGTCCTATAGATAGATGAGATGATGGTGACCAGGAATTGAGCCTTGCACTGGTTAGTGGACTAATACATATTACAGCTACTGGGGGTTCAGTTTCTTGAAACCCCCTGTGATTCTCATAATTGTCAATACTAACACCTGTTCAGAATTTTCATACAGGAAGTCCATTGGATGTTGGTATATTTGATCAGTTCCTATGAAACTGTCATTGTCACATGGATGTTTCTGGTGGTAAGGTTGCAGATAGTGAGACAATGACAGCAATAGTAGGGTGCTTTACTTTGAGAGTTGGATGTCAGGCATACATTTGAAAACAGCTCAATTCCCTCAAACGCCACAGTCAGCTGAGCTGTGTGGGAGCAATTTCTCCCTGCCACCTTCTCTCTCTCTCTCTCTCCGTTCTCCCCCCCTCTCTCTCCCTCTCCCTCCCTCTCTCTCCCTCTGTCTCCCTCTCTCTTTATCTCTCCCCGACTCTCTCCCTCTCCACCTCTTTCTCTTTCTCTCTTATGTGCCCCTCTTTCTCTTTTATCTCTTTTACTTTAAGTAGTCTTTGGCTTTTAAGACAGCTTGTGCCTCATCTAGAGATGATCAAAAGTGATATTTTGAAATTGAGAGGAAACAAAAACTCCTCTTTATGCCATGATCTAACCCTTTTTTTTCCATATCTGTCTGGGACATGACACAATTTTTCCCCCATTTGCATTACCCAATGCCACAACAGTTCTCAATATGTCTGGCCTGATTAAGGACACCCATTAGCTTCAGAGATCACTACCCTTTCCCTCTCTTCAACTATATTTAATGAACAAGTATATCTTGTTTGTGTGACATTTAATTTTATACAGTGTTAATTTAAGAAATGGATTAGTACAGTGGATATATTAATGGCTATGTCTCTTCAATCTATTACTGAGCCGT